TTGCAAGGGCTCAGTAAAATCAGTTTAGTCACAATTATCTAGTTACTCTAAGAGTTTGCTAAGTCTGGGGAATGAAAATCATACATGTTGTCACAGGTGCAAACTTGAGCCAAAGACCAATTCTATTGCAGAATTCCTCTAAAAATTTTAATTTCTTTTTCCATGTGGAAACGGGACATGATTTTACTCAGGGGTAGATAAACAAGTTAGCTTTAGCAGTTGCAGTACTCTTATCAAGCGAACAAATAAAGGGATCTGTTTTTTTCAAATGTTTACCTTCAAAGCATGTTGAACACAGAGAAGGAGGCTTTTGGGTTGTTGACCTCTACTGTTGCAAGCCACCACAGCCTTTTTTATATTCCTTGCTATGAATTCTCATGCTCCATTTAAAAGCAAGTGGGGTTTCTTGCCATCCTGACTCTTGTAAAACTGTTCACAATACACACTTCTAAGTTCCAGCTTAAATAAACTCATGATCATTTGGTTTTGGGCCAACACTAAGCCATTTTTGCTAAAATAATACAAGATACGTCTTTTCTGGAGGCATGAGTCCCATAGAATTTGTAGTTGTGGCATCCATACAATCTCTTCTTCCCATATAATCTCTTCTTTCCATTCTCCCAACCTACTTAGAAGTCAGAGTTACTGTTTTTAAAAGACCTATGTTAGGATCCAAGCACAAATGGGAGAAGTATTAACATTGAGCCTGTATGAGAAGAAATGTCCCTATTCTTTTGACTTACATATTCTGAAGTAATTCACATATGGACAAATTTAATTCTCTTGAAAGGGTTTAAAAGGAGCAGAAAGCTCTTTGGTTACATGTACCAATGTAACCAAAGTGCTAGTTGATCTAAAACAACTGATTGTTTTATTTAAGAGGTAATTTGAAGGAAAATTTACATCTGTAAATATTGGTCTATGGTCTTAGATGATTGAATTGAGCTTTGGGGACTCTATGAAGTAAATTAAAGAAAAGACATAAGAAGTATAATGTTTCATCTTGAAGATGAGCCGCATTTCAAAACGTTTTTGAAGTTTAAAACACCAAATACAAGAGATTTTTTTTTATTATTATTATTGTGAACTTTTGTGCTTGATTTCTAATAACTTCAAGTTATTTATGGTCAAATATTTAAGTTTGAAACCAGTGTACTTTTGAAAGTGTCTGAAAAGTTCATTAGGACATCACAATTAAGAAGCAATGTTTAATAGGTCATGCTAATTAAATGAGAATAGTACTGTTACAAATTACAAAAATAAAATAGGTCATGGAGTTCTAAAAGCAATCTATTATATATGCACCGTGCACATTATTATTAATACATGCATCATTTGAATGTTTTAGAGACTGTTTCTAAATATACATACATATATATTCTAGTGTTTGATGTTGTTGCTTTTTTTAGATATTCAGAAGATTATTATCTTCACATAGTCACAAAACTGCAGAACTGCACCTGGATCAGGAGACCAGAAGAATCTATGAAATTCAGGTAATTTTCATTGTCTCATTTAGAAAAACTGTTTACCCTAGATTCATCTAGCAAGCTATAAATTTAAATCTTCCCTTTTGAAAAGGTAATTTCGCATTGCTTTTAGACTGCATTTGTGGCTATACATTTCTATTACTCTTTTGATGCTGAGGCTCTTCTTGTTTATTTGGATTGAACTGTGCAAACTGAGTAGGATAAAAGAACAACACAAATGAAGTAATTTTACCTGTCTCCACTATAATGAATAGTTAACTAACTTAAGTAGAATAGATTAAAATAGTCCTGACACAAAGCCTAGCGTATTAAAAAAAAAAAAAAATCAGTAATGTGATTTTGTCCATCTGCACAGGCACTCTGGTAAAAGGCTGTGTAATGGAGCAGTGTGTTTCTTACCCCAAGACTATTGCTTCTATTACAGAAGTGCCCAAGGCACTCATTAGGTTTGATGCTGCATGTCATGGCCCCTGAGCATGTAAGCGCATGATTACATCTGTCCTTGTTTGGGATGGCACATAAGTACATGCTCAATAGGGACAGTGATCCCTGAAAAGCTTCCTCTCTCATTTGGAAATGCATCATGCTGGATTTAGAGAACAGCTTCACTGTGCCAACCCTATTTTCTCCAGGGGAAATACTGTCTTGAATTACATTATTACATGGATCAGAATTAAAGATTCTGTCGTGATCATTAAATAAACTGACCTACCTTCCAACTCTTTGGAGTTAACTAGCATTGAAAACTTAATATCCACACGCTCAGCATGATACCCTTGGAAGTAGTAGGGTTTTTTTGGGAGGGGTAAAGCTTTGTGTGCATCATAAATTGCTGTGTTTGCTGTGTATTGTAACTGACTAATGGTGTTTCCCAAGGCTGAGGTAGGAGGATACATGAAGTTAAGGTTTAAGAAACTTTCAGTTAACTCAGGCAGGCTTTAGCTGTGCACAGAGACACCAGAGCATGGTAAGGAGCTGTAGAAGCAGCCCATTCTGTTTCAGAACAGGCAGGTGTCTTGTCCAGAGTTGGCAAGAAGGAAAGCTGCTCTCATCTGCTCTTTGCCCTGCTACATTTAGGGTTTTTGTTTTCCAATCTTTTTTTAACTTACCTTCCTTCTGAACGGACCAGCCACCACTTACCAGAAATTTGCCACTTCTGCTGTGCTAGGTGTATGGGTCAGTGGCAGAGTAACCACTCCTTGTTCCGGCTTGTCCTCTTCATTTATTGCTTCTGCATTCTCCCTTCCACTGGGTCAACTTCTTCTACATCTTCTAGGCCTATGAGGATCAAATATGACACCCTCTATCTAAACCATCATATGAGACTGTTGGACTTTAAGTACAAGATGCTTACTGTTCCTCTTGCTGTCTTTGGCTTCCAGCAAGGAGTGTGCATCATAAGTAGTCAAGGTGGGTTATACAACCAATGATCAGACTGGAAATATTCAAAAGTGAAAACTGTGGGGTGTACTAGGCCACTTAGAAAACGTGGACTATCTGTACATTGAGGTGAGTTTGCTAGCTTTAACTTAGCTCAAATACTAAGCAAAAAAAAATCTTTTGAAACCCAGAATTCAGCACAGGCTGGAAAAACTCTTGTTACTTAATTTACATTCAAGGGCTGTGTTATTATGGTTTCATTGCTTTTTAACATCCAAACTAGCTAGAGTATTAGCTAGTTCATAGGTATACAACCAGGGGGTAATTCTGATGACAAAACTGTATATTCTGTCCCTATGAAATTTGATCTGCTTTGGTATCATCCAGAAATTCCATTGATATGACCAAGGTCTGGTATTTTTGTTTAGGGCATTGCTGATGATTATTTTACAAAAGAAGTGTGCTTTTGCAGAAGTCTTTTCTTTCTTTTCCCTTTCTCCCAAACTCCTCTCTGTTTTCTGGAAACAGGACATTAAAATTTTACAGTTGTCCTTGCTCCCACACCATACTGGAGACTTTCAAAGCTCTTAGCAATTGATCAATAGAAGCTTCAGAAAAAAAGATTTAAAAAAAAAAGAGAAAACCAAATTCGGTATAAAATTTACTGACTAAATCTGTATACATTCCATGCTTTCAGTACTCCCAGACTTAAGCACAAGAGCCTGGAACTAGCTTTGCAAGGACACTCTAGCTGAGAAATGATGTATTGACATCTAGAAATGTGGTGAAATAAATGAATTAATAATCCCTTGGCAGTACATCTCTTCCTTTTTCTAACTTTGCCTTGTGTCAGTAATGCATAATAATTGTGTAATACAAATATTCAGTTCTAAAAATCTCATTAAGTCAGTAGATAAACACACCCATTTTGCAGAAGAGGAAATTAATCTCAGAGGGGCTGTGCAGGGAATTGGGTAATACAGCTAGCCACCTTCAGGAGGAGAGCTTGAAGCTGCCTGTATCATATTATTCATCTGCCAGTGCCACCAGAAGCCTGCCTGCTGACTAGACTGCAGAGAAGCTGCTTGACTTCTTTCCCTGTTTGCCCATCTGTTAAATGGAGTGAACACTTACATGCTTCTCAGGCGTGGTGTCAGTTGTATGACATCTCTGTATTATCCTGAAGTTCTGAAGAACAGGCATGCATATTTATAAGGGATTTAATGTCTTATGCTTCAGGGCATAAACTAACCTCTAATTAATAAGGTTCAAAAGCAGCTTCCCGTGGGGTAGTGAATTTCTCAAGGAAGCTTTCATGTGTTCTCCTTTGCAGCTCTTGCTGTTGGCTACCACCATACTGGTAGTGGAGTGAATGAATATGTGATCTGAGCCAGTAACTCTTACATTCCTAGAAGACAGCACTGCGTGCCAATGAGTACACATCAATTCTCTTTGTAAGCCGCACTCCCAGCAGATCCAGGCCAAATAAAAGAATATGAATTAGAAGAGCAATGCAGGAAAGAAATACTTGTCTTTGTATTTGGCAAAAGGGTTACAGCTGACAGCCATGTGTGGCACAGACCACAGTGTTTTTGCCAAACCATTGTACAGAAAGCAGAGTGCAGGATTCCAGGTTGAGACCCTCTCCTACCTAGCTGAGCTTTGCCATGGAGCAGTGCAAACTGTGTCCATTTGTTGTCAGAGTGCTGACCTTTTCCTGTTCCAAATGACTTCCTCTAAAGCTGCTCTGCTGTGCACACTCGCATGCACTTGGCTAGATTGCAATCTGGCAATGGTCAGCGGTACTTGACAGCTACATGATGTTTACTTATGTGTTTCTCAAATTTAAGAAGAATCATGAGGCCAGTACAAGCCATGATGATCTCTTTCATACCTCCCATATCCACAGCCACTCTTCTCTGGTTGATTTTTGTCCAGCCTCTGCTCGGGAGCCAGTCTCCTAGCCCTTCACTTATTTCAGTGTCTGTAATGCTGACATCAGCACTGCCAGATTTAGGCTGCTCTCAGAGGAGTAAGTGCAAGCAATTGGTTCATTGCTCTTGTAATCTAGTTCAGATTTATTGTGCCCCACATTAGTGTTTGTCAGCCATTGCTAAAGAGATTTTATCTAACTTCACAATAGATGCTAGCAAAGGTGATGTACCTACACCAGAAGTGGTGTAAATGGCATCTCACTAACAGTGATTTAGGAGAAGTCTTCTCCAATGCTTACTGCTACTGGCATATAGAGAACTATTTAAGTATTTTTTATTCAGACATTTCCTTTATGAAATTCAGCTGTGCTTCTCTGGTACTTTTTTAATGTCTCTTGTTCTTTATGGCTCTACAATCATCTAGAATCTCCACATTATCCCTTTGTTTCTAATCCCACCTGAATTCATCCTCCCTTTTCAGGTTTATGTCAGCTCTAACTTGTTTTAGACAAAGCAAGTCCTCGGATTTCTTGGTTATAAGAGAGGATTGGTACAAACTTGGAAAGGGAAAAGAAATAATCTCACAGCTGCCTGGAAGCATCATTCTTAAAGCTCCAGAAAAAAGCTGTGCTGGGTAGCTTCCTCTGCAAAGGCTCTTCTAGCTATAGTTAGTAGAGTCTCAGGTTCCCTAGGTAACCTGAATATTAATTATTATATTAGTATTCTTCAAAGGTTTTCCACTTAAAAGAAATGTTTCATTAGTGCAACAAATTAGAGAGCCCGATTGGGTGCAAGCTGTAATTGTTTTTTACACCTCCACATCTCTTTGCTTTACAGACTTTTAAGCTTGATTTATTCTCATTTGGGCTATACACCCGTGCTGGCAAATAATTTGCAGGTTTTCCAAATAGTTGCAACTCCTGTTTTTGCTGGAAGCTAACAAATAGCTAAAACAGCCCTCAAAATGACTGGGGTGGAGGGGAGGGAGGATATGGAGAAAGGCTGAGCAGATGCTGTGTTTCAGAGAAGCCTCTGGGTATCGTATTTCTGGGCTACCTCGCTGATCTTTGAGCCTGACAAAACAATGCAACAGTTCTTCAGGAGTTGTATCGCACTGAAATAGCCCTGTGTGAGCTGTGGATACTGGGCCCCCTCCCCATGGAAATACCATTCCTGACAAACCTTATTGGTGTCTGATAATGAAGGGAGAAGGAAATCCCTAGGTGTGAATCACAGTTTTAGAACCCCTGATGTTACACTGCAGTTCAGCTGGCACACTGCTCCACTCCACCAAAGTATTTTTAACTTTTTTAAAAAGGAAACATTACTACTTTAAAAAAAGAACCCTGGGTCTTGAAAAGAATAGTTAAAAGATCAATCCATTTCCCCAGTCCTGTAATTTCCCCTCCTGCTTTTTATTCCACTCGACCTCTATTACCCTTTTCCCACTTTAATATCTCTTCTGAAAAGTGTGTGTTAAACATTCCTGAAGATTATAAAATCCCACTCCTTCTTGAAGAGCTTAATTTGTAGTGTGCTACACTCTAACATGTATAACAGTATTGCTTAACGCATCTGTGTACTCCAGTGAACCACAGTTGAAACACAAATAAAATACCCTGCAAGGTCAATTTATGCTTACATAAGCTCATACCAACACATAATCAATAGCTTTCCTAATACTAAACAGAT